GCTGCTGCTGCTGCTTGGTAGCTGGTGCTGTTGCTCGGTAGCTGCTCCTGCCGCTGCTGCTGCTGCTGCTTGGTAGCTGGTGCTGCTGCTTGCTAGCTACTCCTGCTGCTGCTTCTGCTGCTGCTTGGTAGCTTCTGCTTGCTGCTGCTGCCGCTGCTGGTTACAGTTATTGTTGTCGTGGCTGTTGCTGCTGCTGCTGCGGTTGCTGGGGTGGTTGTGTGTTGCCATGTGTTGGCTGTGTTGGGGTCGTATTGGGGGGGCGCTGTTGGCACTCTCCTTTCCCTTGGCCATGGCATGTTGCGATTCCCGGCCAGCTTTTGCTGCCTAAAGAGCCCCAGCGTTGCCACCCCCCTCTGGGCCACAAGTGGCAGAAGGGTGAGCATGACAAGGACTAGCTTTCTTCAACTGCAAGCAAGACACTTGCCACTCTATGCTTTGCGGTGGACACATTTTGCAAGGTGCGTATCACCGGCTTGACCATCCTACCACCACCCGGATCCATGCTGGCCTCCAAGTGACATTGGATCTGGACTCGGAGACAGGTCACAGGAGACGTTCCCACTGCAGGACGAGACTAGTCAATGAAATTCAGAGGTTGGGTTCATTTTGACTCAAGGGTCCTGAGGGTCCTGAGGGTCCTGAAGTCCGACAGTTTGTCAAAAATCTGACGTAGAAACCACTGGTGACTAGTTTAGTCCGGTCGAGAAATCAGGTATCAAGTTAGGAGCAGGGCTTATTCTCCAGCTGAACACCCATCGCCTTATCGCCGTTATCGCTGCATCTCGTGGCCCGGGCGCATCTGCTACCTTTGCTTGTCCCGACCTTGGCACTTTCAGCAGAGTGGAAGGAAGTTGATGGCTGGCCAGTTCAAATGCTATTTCTTTGATCGTGCAAGTCCCTAATTCCTAGTGTCTTCTCCCTAAGCTTCCTATTTTGTTTCGTTTTGTCAGGTGCCACTCCACCCACGTCACACAGGGAGTTGACACCTGGCAAGTGCAGAATAGTCTATCAGGCCCAATTTTTGGACCTGTTCTGCCCATCAAAAGGGAGTCGGAATACCGCCCACGGTATTTTTCATGTTATTTTTGCTTCTTCACTACTCCTCCTCCTCATCTCATGCCTCATACAGTCGCCTCATTCGCACTGTTGCATACTTTTGCCGCATCCAAGAAAACCCCTGGAAGAAATGGTTGCATTTTTCCGGAGCTGTTTACGAAAGACAATGGCCCATGTGATCAGCATGAAGTAGCACAACGGTGCTTTGTGTTCATTTGCTTTTCCACCTCCTTCTTGTGCTGCATAGTTCTGAAAGAAGGACAGGCCGGGATGGTTTGCTAGAAAAATATTTGCACATCTAAAGCTTGGGAAGCAGACTAGTTAGAGGCTAGTAAGGCAATCACAGTGTCAACATATTCAAAAAAAAACAAAACGAACTTCACGAGCTTTGTGACCAAAGCCACGGCGGCCATGGAGTCGGCTCGCCTTCGTGAGCTGCGAGCGCGGGAGAACGCGCTGCGAGCGGAGCTCCAGGCCGAAGATTCAAAAAGCCTTCCGAATTAAAAGAACGCTATTAGAAGAAGTAGTAACAGGTGCCACGCTGGTAGTAACAGGTGCCTTACTAGTAGTAACAATGTTCGCTATTAATCTATTTTAAATTAGAGTACAAGAACGAATTAAAAGGGAGGAACAAGGACGCTACTAGTAGCAAAGGGCATCGCTACTAGGAGCAAGGGCCTTACTACTAGGAACAAGAAGCTAGTAGAAACAATACATAAATTAGAGTTTAATTAAAAGGGACACTTAAATAATATCGATGGCCTCCAAACTACTAGCGATGGCCTCTCCTATGTCAGAAACGAGCCTGAGATGTTCGCTCCAGCTCCTGTCTGAACTACACTACCCCTTCTTGAACTTAGTGGTTGCCGTGCTTGTCCGCGTGTTGGGATGCATGAAAAATATCGGACGGGTCAGATACTAGTTATGCAAGCACGCGTTTATTCAGTGACGCTTTATCGTGCCTCATCATACTTCACATGTGCAAATGGACAGTTGTTCTTAAAAGCTGACCTGCAACCTGCAACGTGTGTTCTTATTAGGTTGAAGGCCCTCGCTATCAGGTTGGAGGCCATCGCTTCTAGGTTGGAGACCATCCCTGTTAGATTGGAGGCCATCGCTATTAGATTGGAGGCCATCACTATAGATTGGAGGCCATCGCTATTAGATTGAAGGCCATCGCTATCAGGTTGGAGGCCATTGGTTCTAGGTTGGAGACCATCCCTGTTAGATTGGAGGCCATCGCTATTGGATTGGAGGCCATCGCTAATAGTTAAGTTTCCCTTTAATTTGTTGTTTCTTTGTCCAATCTATTTTGTCTCCTGGAATTTGCTTTGGCAATATCTCGGAGTCTCCACCTTGCGATCGCTTGGCAACGGCGCCCAATACGCTCGAGGTGGTGGAAGCCGCCCTTGAAGCAGCGATCAATGAAGGTGCTGCTGCACCCGAGGACTCTTTGCAGGAAGGAAACATATGATTACTAATTTATCAAATAAAAACACTGCCAATCTGCGAATATTTTAGACACTTGATACCGGGTGCTTCATTTAAAAAAAAGAAAATTAAAAAATCACAAAAATTGTTCCACGTCATGGTTCCCACCCACCGGCCGTCAGAAAAGAATTGCCATTTTCATGTCATGTCAGTACATGTGAGCTACCCAATGGCTTCATACTGGATGGCCGTTTTTCTTTTTTTAAGAACCCGGTGGGTGTCATTTGATGCATTCCCTATAGCTTCCAATTTAATGAACGAATCTCTTTGTTGCTGCTCCTCTAGTGAGCCCCTCTGGGCGGTGGCCCGCAAAAGCGACCCCCAGAGCTTGAGTTTCACTTTGCTGAGCATGCTGTGTGTGTGTTTATAAAAAAGTTGCTGCTCCAGTGAGCGCTTTGAGAGGTAATGAATGGCATTCAAAGGTGTTGTGGCTTTTTGCACTGATATGACACTGAAAGTCTGTGTTGGCATTTTCAAAGACTAGGGGGTAGATCAAAGGCGACCTTTGTGACTCTTCAGGCAAGAAAGGATAGAGTTTGGCATGGTCTTGAAGTCTTCTTGTGACATTTTCAATGTTTATTTTGGAGGCCATCGCTAGTAGGTTGGAGGCCATCGCAATTAGTTATATACGTTCTCCTTTAAAAAGTTATATAAACAATAAACAAAAAACTATCTATTTGGACATCGGCGGGTCACGGGGCTATTCGGGGCCATGTGCAGGAGAGCGGCGAGCCACACTTACATCACCGACCCAGCCACTCAGAGCGACCCAGAACGACGGGATGCGTTTTGACGTGTATTGTGTAGTAACTACACTGTTTGTTCTTTGGAGCATCATATTCCTGCAAAGTCACAGAAGTCACAGTGGAGTAAGGCAAAGCCGGCAAAACAAACGACCAAAATCTTGTTTGGGCCGCAAAGAGACTAAAAGGCAAGCTTCAGGAAGTAGGACTCCAGATGACTCAGGCAAACTGTATTTGAAAATCGAAACGGTAGGACGTAGTGACGTAGTTGGACTTAGCTAGGAATTGTTCGATCATTTTTGCTGCAATAGATGGTTCGAATCATCCACTGTTGCCATAGCTGTTTCCTGCCATACTCTATCTGAATTATTGCAGTCACTGTTTGTGAACAGTGTACCAGATATAACAGGTTCTTTTTGCCTCCTTAACATGTGTGTTGGATTGTGAGCAGGTCTATCAGGTCAACTAACCGTGAACAATCAGTAGTGAGTAATTGATCCTTAAAACTTATAGCTTTGTAGATTTTTGTAGGAAGTGTCGGCATGGTTCTTGCGTTGCTTTGGTTTCTGTCAGGTTGGTCTATGCTTGGCGGTGCTGATGGTGCCAGCACTGTGCCACGGAACTTGGGGCAGGAAGAGACTGACTTGCAGGCCGAGTGTGTCATGTGGAGTCATGTGCAAAACATGGTTGGGAAGTGAGTGTCACACAGAGTGCAGAAATTGTGTGAAGTGTCTTGTGAAACATGCCCCAGCCATACTCAAAAGCATTCAAATGCTTTCTCAGAGGAATATCCATTTGAGTACCTATTGAATAGAGTTGAGCCTTGAAAGCAAAGAGCGAACTTGTTGTTCACAGGGTGGAAGTGCTGTGCCACTCTGGCAACAGCAGGGAGATGTTCTCGAAGCTGGTCGAAAGTTTGTGTTCACACTCTTGTATTTAATTGCTTTGGAACATATGCGATCATATATATCCCTTATATATTCAGACAGAGGGCAGGAAAAAGATAATGTTGGGACGGTTGGTCTTCGCTGTAGATACTGCAGGCAAGCCGACAAACGTAGACGCAGCAATGGCGGTTGTGGGCTTTGTCCAGTACTTGTTGCAGTGTTCCCGGGATGCTACCTCCACCAACGACTACATTGTCAAGGTTTGCTTCGGCTTGTTAGGAATAAACAAGGTTGTCGTGGCCATGCAAAAGTCCACCGGACACATGGCCAGATTGGAAATAGAAGTATTCATGGTATTCGTTCGTTGGAAATCCCGTTTCAAGGCTGTTTTGGTACGTACCTCGGATCAAGATGGCAGGCCGTGCTGAAAAGTTTTCCCAGCTTGGACGTGGGTCCGATTGGAGAATTCAACCACTGGGATCGCCGAGAGTGCCGAGTACGCAACCCTGAAGTTTGGACGAAGCGCGACTCAGCCTGCTTAGGTGCGTGGGAGTGCTTGTCGCTCCGAGTCGCTCCCGTACCAACTAGTAGCAAGGACGCTACCAGTGGCAAGGTGCATTACTACCAGTAACAAGGACGCTACTAGGGGCTCCTGGCCTTCCTACTAGTAACAAGAAGCTACTAGTAGCTAGTGGATTGGTTTGGCAGCTATACCTGTATATTATATATATACACACGCTCAAACGTCTAAGCCGTTTTGGCTTTTTGGAGGTGCCGTCAACCCAGTGTTTCTTTCTGAATGGACATTTGGAAGCTCCTCGCACATCAGTACTTGCCAAATGCTTCAAGGTTGAGACCCTATGAAATTCCATGTGAATTCCTGCAAGGGGAAGCCGAGGGGAAGCCGACAGTGGGCAAAGCACGGCAACACACACCTTTTCAAGGCTTCTCCTCGCCTTCCAAGGCTGTGAGGACTATATGGCTTCCCTAGGTTCTGCAGCGATTCTTGACTGGAAAGCTGCTTTGAACCATGTACGGAAAGCTGCTTTGTTGCTGGCTCCTGGCAACAACAAATTTATGATTGTGCAAACGTGCAGAGACGCATACACGAAGATACACAAAGATTTGCAGTAGACTGCCATTTGCCTGTTGCACAGAGAAATGCAAGAAGGGCCAACAATGAGGCAGATGCTGTATCAAAGTGCCAAACGACTGCACACAAAGGGACCCCATGAATGAAGAAAGCGCTGTTGACTTTCAGCCCTTCAGATGTTTCCAAGGATTCCAAAAGTAATTCATCAGATTTGGGTTGGCCCGAAAGAGCCTCCATGTCTTTGGCTGGACACTTTCCGGGCAGACTATTTGGAGGCGAGTGAATAGTCAGATGTGAGGGATGTCGGAATGGTTTGGAATCGACATTGTTTCTTTTCTGGGTGAAGAGGAACAGCTTGGCATTCTTTCAGGCACATCCAGACTGGAGCTATGAGATTTGGAGCGATGAGCGCGTCGCAAAGTTGCCCATGTTCAACGAGAAGCTGCTTGGATGCCCAATAGCGACGGCCTCCAACCTAGTAGCGTCCCTGCTCCCAGTAGCGATGCCCTTTGCTCCTAGTAGCTTCTTGCTCCTAGTAGTAAGGCCAGGAGCCCCTAGTAGCGTCCTTGCTCAGTATTCGGAGGGTCTTAGACATGTGATCCCTTCTCAACGATGTGCTTTTTTGTGAGAGCGTTACAGTGCCAAGAAACAGCACTTGGCCCTTAAGAGAGTGTACAGCTTCTAGTGGAATCGAGTGAGGTCGCGCTTGATGTTTGCCAGTTTGGGATTGATAGCTTAGGATCTACGTGGAAGAGAAGATGTGGCAGTGCAAAGCCGACATTTTGCGTTTGGAATTTCTTTGGCATCACGGTGGTGTCTATGTGGATGCTGACATGATCTCTGTGGGGAAAAAGTCCTTGAATCCGATTGTCGAGCTGGGCAAGGACAGGCAACAGTTCTAGTTGCCGATGTCCTCTCAGTGGCCTTCATCACTTCAGGTCAGAGGTCTCTCAAGGTTTGGGGGTTCTGCTAGGAATGGGGTTGGACTTGGACCATGCTGGAGCCCAAATCTTTGTAGCTGAAATGCGGTGTCCCTGCCCTCTTGTGAGTTTTCTTGAAAGGAGACAGGCTTTGTGATCGCTTATGAGCCTGACACCAAAGACAAGTAAGAAGCCCAGGAAGTTTAATGAGTTTGCATTGAAAGGTGTCCTTCCCAGTCCTTTGTTCTTCACAGTAGGTTTGAAGATATTTGAGATACCTTTTTTTGAATACTATGCAAAGCAGATTGTGTTTGACACCTGAGCAGCTGATCTCGGTCTGAGGCCATACTCCATTCTAGGAAACTCAGTCCCTTGGGCTGCCTTTGGATGTTCTCTTTGGATGCTTATCTTGTTCATTGTTTTCTTGTGGTCGGAGCCTGTGCTTGTTGTGGCATTTGAGGTGATCGCATGCACACCCAAGCATCCTCTAATCTTGATGCTGATCTTGTACCTCAAGCAGAGCCTTGGAATTGATTGTCGATTGTTGATCTGATTAGAAATCTGAAATCATTGAAATGACATGAAATAACAAATAAGCAATGGCGAGGGCGATGAATTAAGACTTTGAGAGCCACCGAGTTTTCAAGCTCTGTAGACGCACAGAAAGAGTTCTCCAAAAGCGAATGTCCAAGGACTTTCTACCAGAAGCGAAACCACATCGAAGTCTTCGCTGTTACAGGCATCTTCCTCGGAGTGGGTATTTAATGGAAGCGAAGGGACAAAGCAAAAGCTCGATGCAACATGATGCAACAAGGGCGGGAGTATTGCAGATGACATGGGAAGGAGGTACTTCGGATTAGTGGGAACCTTTTGATTAAGGAACCTTTTGTGAGGAAGGACCATAGGGTACAGTCTCTGAATCACTGACCAAAAGACATGGCTGGCTCTGAAACACAATTCGAGACCATGCATGTGGGTCTTCTTGTGCGAGATGTTTCAGTTGTTTTTGACTTGTTCTGGGTCACAACTACGATGCAAAAGGTTTGCGCTCCCTTAGTTGGACGAAGATGAAGACCCCCTGGGGTCATTGGTCCAGGCCCTGTGATGTATACAAAGTGCTTGGTTGACTCGTGCATGCCCATCTCTATTGCAGCTCAAGAGCTTCTGTACCCAGTGCCTTGGCGGATGGCAAGCCACATGCTGCCACGTAGTGATGTAGAAGTTGCAAAATGTTACTTCACTTGTGAGGGCTGGCCTTAGCATCAAAGAAATTGCTTGGAACCTGAATGAGAGCTACATTCCTGTCATTTCATTCATGTTCACTCATTGTCCACGTTTGCCATGCCTTCTGTAGGCCTTTCACTTCGTGCCGAATCCTGACGCCATTGACTTCTCTCGATTTCCTAAGTGCTTGATGTTTCAGTTCGGCTACACCTGCTCTGGACTGGAAGGATATGCTCCTAGAATGGCAGAAAGCTTTCAAGTTGGGTCTGCAGACCCAACTGACTTTGAACTCGTTTACACGCAGACCACTACTGGCCAAAAGGAGAACAAACATTCAGAAGAATCTACCGGCAGCTTGTTTAGGTTCGCCCCAATATTGAGGAACACATCTACTGCGCTTCTATCGAGTTGAGAACCAATGAGAGTGTTTGTTTTGATTTTTTGTTCAATTTCACATGTAATAGTTCTTTGATGACTTCTATCATGTTTATCTCTTGCATCTCCAGTATCTTAAGTCTTAAGCCAAGGTGAAGCGCAGAAACCGCTGCAAGAGGCACGGGGGCCCTAGGGCTTTGCCAAAGGCTTGTGAAGCTGTGTACTTCGGGTTCCTTTGCTGGATGCTCAATCAGAGAGGTTTGGTTGGAGGCGATCGCTATTAGGTTGGAGGCCATCGCTAGTAGGTTGGAGGCCATAGCTTCGAGGTTGGAGGCCATCCCTCTTAAATAGATGATAGCTTAGCGATGCTTAGTGGCTTTGCGCTGGAGAAGATGCGACCACATTTTGCTTTTCCAGGCCGTCCGAGTGCCCCTTTCACGCCAAGACACCCTATGCGCAAAGCTACAAGGCTTTGAGCGGCCCGGACACACCACTCTATGGACAGGCGCCAATTGGGTTTTGGAAGAAAGGAAAGGAAAACAAAGGGAAAGAGGGAATATATGTTTGAAGAGATACAGAAAAAGGAACACAGTTTTAGCAAGTTGACGTTGGGCTCCAAGACCTCCAAAACTATGTTTATGAAGTATTGACAAAATGCACCTGGCTTTGAATTGGCTTTGTTGCTTGTTCCTCCAACTGCTTAGCTGTTAAATATCCTGCAAAGCGGTTGAACCTTGAAGTCCTCCCCCTTATTTGCAGTCTTTACAGAAGAAAAGATGGCATGGGGATGCTACAAAGCGTGGCATGGGGATGACCGGCCCATAGGTTCCTGTGGCTATGGCATACTTGGAACAACTCCTGTCGCTGCCGGTTCCGGCAGATGGCAGCTTCCTGGCATCGGTTCTTAAGGTTACATAATTGAAATCGATTACCTCATGAGCGTCACAGATTTGCAGATAGCGTTTTGGCATGAGGCTTCCCATTGGAAGAGGGCACGGCTTTGTTCCTTGTGGATGGGGAGATTGTCCACTTGGTGGAGCTTAGGCAGCAGGTACCAGGCTAGGCTGGGTCAAGGCAAATTCTGTGACATATTTGAGTTGGCATTTTGTTCGATTGAGGAGGCTTTAACAAAAGGTCTATCGCCTTTCTTGAAGTTTATAGCAAGCATGCAGATTGGACGAATTGGAGAGGTTTCATGGGCCGCGTGCGCCATCAACCCTGGGACGTAGTGATGCTGGGCATGGAGTGGTCCACTGGTGCAGATGAGGCCTGCTTGGGCCTCTCAAGGTCTCAAAGTTAGCATGCTTAATGTTGAACTTTACTAGTAGCTTGTTGTTACTAGTAGTAATGGCCTCACACCTAATAGCGACGGCCTCCAACCTAGTAGCGTCCTTGTGACTAATTTGCAACGATAAAAAGTACCAAATACAAAAGGGATCAAAAGGACAACAGAAAGGTGAAAGGACCAAGACCAAGGAAAATTCCAAGCAAAGAAAAATTGAAAAGTGAACCAACCATGAAAAGAATATGAAAAGGCACAAAATGAATACTGGGATACCTATCAAAAATAAGATTGATTCTTATCAATTAAAATAGAACATTATATAGTTCGTATCAAACAAACACATATTCACCCCTACTCTTTTGGTCCTGGTCTGCTGGTTCCCTGGTCCCTTTTTCCTGGCCCCATGTCCCACGTAGCAAACCTTTTGTGAGCTACCCGAGCGTAAAACTTAGAAGAGGAAGGAGCCATTCCAACGTAGCAGACCTTTTGTTATTAGCCTTGCGAGGGTAAAATTTGGAGGAAGAAGTTGTCATTCCAACGTAACAGGCCTTTATTGTGTGAGCACCTCGAGGGCAGAATTTGGAGAAGGAAGGTGCTATTCCAACATGGCAGACATTTTGTGAGCCGCCCGAGGATAGAATTTAGAGGAGGAAGGTGCCTACACCTTGTGTGGGCTATGCGGGGGTAAAGTTTAGAAGAGGAAGGAGCCATTCCAGGCAGCAGACCTTTGTCAGCCGATTGAAATTAGACTTTAGAGGAGGAAGGTGCAATTCCAACGTTTTGTGAGCCATCCACAGGTCTAGAGGTCTCAAGATTCAGAGAGGTCTTGAGATGCATCTAAAGATATCTAAAGAGATCTAGAGGTCTGGAGACTCAGAAAGATCACGGCTGAGATGCAGAGAGGTCTAAATCTACACGCAGAGGCTTAGAGGTCTTGAGATGCAGGTCTTGAAATCTACAGCAAATCCTAGAGGTAGACTTGTAGAGGGTCTAGAAAGATCTATCTATCGATCCAGAAAGGCTTTGGAATGCAGAGAGAGGTCCAAAGGTTTTCAGATCCAGAGATATCCTGCGCCTGCCACGAAATTTGCACTTCCAGTGCACAAAATGCCGCGCCTCGCTTGCCACGAAATCTGCACATCAAAATTCACATCGCCCAGCCCTGCCAAAGTGGTTCGCAGTCGCAGGCGCAGCTCTTTGTGAATAGATATGTTGTTTTTGATATAAATTGATTTTTTGATAAGATATTTGTATTTTATTTGATATTTTTTGATAGCCCGGCCGGGCCATTAATGCTTGAGACTAAAAACGAAAAGAGAACGGCTGAGGTTTTGCCAGGTCTTGGAGGTTGTTACCTGGCTACCCCTTACTAGCATTACTCGTAGCGAATGCTTTGGCAAAATCAAGAAAGGCATCCATCAAGAAGTAGTTCATGAGCCTAGACGCCTTTCAGGGCGCCTTCTTTTGTGCCTACCTTGAGCCTATATTCCTTTACCTTCCTTTGCCTTTGACCTGGCCTTTTATTGGTTTCATTGGTGCCTTTAGAGCTCTAGGCCATGGACTCCCATGGACCGCAGCAATGAATGCCAAGAACACGTTTAGCCAAAGCTCTGTGAGACAACATATTTTTCTGACAGGTTGGAGGGTGTGTCAAACATTTGCACACCCAGTGTTGTTTTCGGTGTGCCACTCAATGATGTTTTAAATGTTGCTTGAGTGTGCAATATTGACGAGGGAGACATCAGTTTGTGGAAGCATCAATATGCACATTCTCTCCAGCAACAAAGCGTTGTTAAGACTCACTTTCATAATTTCATATGATTCATATGACTTGCAATACTGAATCCTTAGTGCTGGTGCGAGTGGGCCTCAACCTGGCGCACCAGCTCGTTACACCAAATGTTAGCTTTTGATGTCAGCAAGTGGACAAGTGAAAGGATGTGATGGATTCTGCTGCGGATAGCTGGCAGGAAATAAATCGTAGTTGATAAACAGAAAACTTGGAAAAGGAGAAGGAAGGGAAGCTAGTGAGTGTTTCTTTTTGCCGGGGCCTTACCTTCCTTTATGCATTTTTGTTTTCTTCTACACTATTGGGCCATTGTTGGGTAGTCCAAGACCAAGACGTCATATCAATTGTCCGGCATCCGATTCATGGCCTTCAAGCCTTCAGGTGGTTCTTTTCAATGTCCCTCCTGGTGGACGGCCAAAGCAGCAAAGCTGCATTTATCACTTCCGACTTGGTCTTCTATGCCTTGCATCTATTTGTGCTTGGACATTATGAGGAATGAAGAACCAAGAAAGAATAAAGAACAAATGAAAAGCACTAAAGGTCCTATGAAGATCTTGGAAGTGATTTACGGACTCGACTTTATGCTTAGAAATGATGAGGAATGAAGCTTGTGCCATTATGTTGAGTCTTTCACAAGAATGCCACAGTTCTCCTGCCGAGGCATTCCAATTGCTTAGCCATCATTGTGAATGTTGCTGGCACGAAGAAGATGCAGGCCTTGAGGGGAGATTCGTCTCAAGAAAAGAGTGAATGGTTCAACTCTTCCAGGGTTTGTTTTGTGGTTTCATGTCGTTTTGGTTACAATGGCGGCACAGATAGGAGCTTGTCCCTAGCAAGACATCGTCTTCAATTCATCAACAAACAGACAATCCATGGAAAACTTGTCCATGTGGAACTTATACATCGAGATGCATTGCATACATGTACACTTGGATGTGCTACATCACGCCCATGACAGCTGTTTTGGTTTGTAACTCCGGCAGCACTATCCCATCAGTCGCTGTGCGCATGGGCACTGAGTTGAAGAGACCTCTTGACTGACTCAAGATTCTTTTGCTTCATCATTGGATCAATTGGATTTATTCTCGATTCTCCTTGAGCTCTTGAGGTTGTTCAAAGTTTTTTGAGATCTCTGCCTGGAGCTTTGGGCTTTGTGGATGCTTTGCCTCGAAGGAGAAACCATCGAATCTGTAAAGCCAAGCTGAATCAATAGAATCCTTGGTGGATCCAATGAATGAACCAATTGAATCCAATTGCGGCATGCGTTCAACTTCCTATTGTTCTTTTCGTTGAAGCCTGGGGCAAGCTGCTCGGGTGATTCATTGATGGAATCGACGTATATGGCAATGAACTCGCAAAAGAAGGCGTCTCTTTGGCGTGAAGCGTTGCAAGTCTTCATGCGACGCAAACCACTGGAGAAGACCATACAAACCAAGGAGATGGTTACAGAGAGTGCCAAGAAGACGTTGAGCCGGCCAAACATTTGGGCACAAAGGCAAAGGCAAGAGGACATTCTGGCTCACAACGTGGCCATGAGTTGTTTTGGAAAAGTCTTGCATTGGAACGCAGCCTCAGAGATCTTTTGCAAGATGTGTTTGGAACGGGCTGCACCCAGCGTTGCTAGCCACAATGTATTGATTGACTCGTGCGGAAAGAGTCAGCATTGGCAACTGGCGATACATCGGATTGAAGACATGAAGAGCAGATCACGTCCTCCGAATGTGATCAGCTATAGTTCCGCCATCAGCGCGGCCGTGCAATGGCAACATGCCCTTCAGTGGCTCAATGAAATGTTTCTGGTACGTGTAGTTCCAGATGTGATTTGCTACAGTTCTACAGTCAGTGCCTGTGAAGAAGCGGGCCGTTGGGAGCATGCACTTCTCGTCTTCCATGAAATGGTTTCCCATGTTTTGGCCCCGGAATTGATAACCTGCAGTGCTGTGATCAGTTCCTGTGAAAAGGCAATGCAATGGCAAATGGCACTGTGTTTATTCAGCATGATGATTTCGCAACGTGTCACACCTGATGTCATTAGCTACAATGCCGCCATAAGTGCTTTAGAAAAAGGGTTTCAGTGGGAACTTGCCCTTCGTTTGTTCAGTCAGCTCACTGGCCATGTGACTCCTGATGCCATCAGCTACTGTGCAGCCATCAGCTCGTGTGAGAAAGGCTTGCAATGGCAAGTTGCGATGCTTTTCTCCACAAAAATGAGACTCAAAGCACTTCAAGAAGATGTTGTCAGCTTTAGTGCTGCCATCAGCGCCTGCGAGAAGGGCTTTCAATGGCAGCTAGCCTGCGATTTGCTCCACAGTATGGTCTTGAGTGGGGTTGCTCCGAATGTAATCACATACAATGCTGCGATGGCTTCCTGCGAGAAAAGCAAGTGGCAAATGCCTTTGAGCTTTTTTGAGCAATTTGAAATGATGTCAAGATCAAGTGTGAAAGGAAGGTCCGGGATCACTGCGAGCGTCAGGACCTACAACGTTTTAATGTCATGCTGTAAAAAGGCCTCCAAGTGGTCCGATGCCTTGCAGCTTTTCAGGCAAATGCGCAGACAAGGAATTCAAATGAACATTTTTCCCAACGAGGTGACCCACAATCTGGTCATTGGCAGTTCAGAGGAGGGCCTTCAGCCTGTAGGTGACCCCTTCTGTGCAGCAAGCGCAGACTTCAGCCAGCTGCATTTGATGTCGCCCAAAGGCATTTCGCTGAATTTCCCAGCATAGACCCTGGCAGGGTCATTCATGACGCGGCAAAAGAACAGGGCAGATTTGAGATACTAGGAATGCAAAGTCGACCCGGTTCATCCCTGTGCGCAAGCCTTCCAGATTGGAAGTGAGTCAAAATTTGAAAAGCAAATTGAAGAATGGAATGCTGAGTGGTAATTAGAGACATGGGACAATGGCTTTGGGTGTGGAAAAGGGCCCTGTCCGAAGGATGTCGAAGCTCATTGAAGTCTGTGCGTTGCACACACGGCTGAAGAACGTGGCACAGCGCGCTTGCCGCGCTTGCCAGGTCCTGCGGCCGACGCTGCAGCGCTGCGTCACTCCAACGGGCTTTGACCCATCTCCTTTGTTCAACTCTGCGGGACAGCCACGCAGCGACACACGGGAGGTTTTACAAATGTGATGTGAATGGAGCATCAAATACTTGGATCAAGAGATTAGAGCTACCTTGAAGACTGAGACTAATTGCAGCTACTTGTACCACTGTGTCTCAATCCTGCTTTTGCATTGGATTTGGGATACAATGAACTGGGCTGGGAGAGCCTGGGCCTTGCTTTGCTGCTGCCCTTTGTACAAGTGGCAAATGGTTGCATGGTGTCCTGTTTACCACTCCTGTTCTTTCAAATTTGTTCGTTGCGACAAAATTCAGCAGAATTGCCAATTTCGGTGGTCAGCAATGTTCTTTTCTTTCCTCCCCCTTTCTTTCCGAGGCTCTCTTTGTGGTTTGCAGCCCAGAAGTATCCAGGTACGCTAGATGCTCGGCGCCAAAGGTTTCAGAGGGTGAACAGGGCAGGGCCATGTGGTGCAAGAAGAGGCCGATGAAAGAGTGAGTTGCTTTCCTCAATCATGTCCATGCCAGACACCTTCGAAGTTGTGAGGCACTGTGAGGTGAAGGCCATGTTCTTCGCCTCAATGAAATAGAACATGGCCTTCCTAGGAAAAGTACAACCTACAGAACCGTCAGAATCTGCAGAGCTCACCAGTCGGAATCTGCAATCTGGAAATGCCCACATCTTTAGGTCGACAGGCCCTTGTTACGTTCGTAGCTTCTTGTTCCTAGTAGCGATGGCCTCCACCTAGTAGCTTCTTGATAGTCATTTTATTAATTTTGGAATGCTTGGTGTTTTCACATCCAAAGGCTTGGAGTCCCAAATCCAAACGACGACCCTGGTCCATGCGTAGAAACCACTGGAAGCACCGCAGAGAGTTTCGCCCTTATGCTAATATGCTCATCTTAAGTCTGGGACAGAACTAAGCTACTTGTACCCCTTACTACTTTGCAGGGCGTTTCATGTCTTCATATTGTCCTTCCTTCCTTGCTTCCTTCCTCCATTCCCCCGATACTACATAGGATGTTGTTTTGCAAGCACGCTTTCTGACGGAAATCGCCTACAACTCACAACTGATAGGAGCAAGGATGCTACTAGTGGCTCCTGGCATCGCTACTAGGAGCAAGGACGCTACTAGGGGCCCCTGGCCTTACTACCAGGAACAAGGACGCTACTAGGAACAATGTCTCATAGCTATACACTCCATATACTCAGGAAGAAGCCCGCATTTGGAAGAGCATGCCCCAGGTGCGACAAGCAACTTGGCGCGTCATAAGCATTTCTCATTTCGTGCGTTGTTCATCCTGCAAACATTTCACACCTGTGTGTTTGATGTGTTAGTTTCACACCGATTCACAGGTTCAGAGGGAACAGTGTCACATTTCAGGTTCAAAAGCTTCCTTAATATGTGTTGTAGGGTCTTGGTATTCTTTAATATTTGTTTACTTGCAATCCATGGTTTGTGTTCTTTGGCGAGCCACATTGGAGTGTAAGGCCTTCCAGCAGTTGGCAAGGCACGATCCGCCTTTGCAGTGCGAGACCTACGAGGTGCACGGGACACTCGCACAAGACCAGCGCGACGGTGATGGTAACAACGACGCCACGTAAGAACCATCAAGGACAATTGAGCTGGTTCCTCAATGAATGAAGGACCATGAAGGGCGAAGGGATACTTAGTGCTGAAGATAGAGAGTGTGGGAGCAAAGCCACAGGGTTGAAGGCATGGAGTGCAAGCAGGTAGCTACTTGCCACGACTTCCGTATGCACAAGAAGGATTTGGCACTATGCACTTCCACTTCTATAAACCCATCATGTGTTTCAATCAATAGATTCCAAGAACAAGAAGCTACTAGGAACAAGTGCATCGCTTCTAGTAACAAGTGCCTTACTAGTAGTAACAATGTTTGCTACTAGGAACAAGTGCTAAACCGTTTCGGAACCGTTCCGACCAAGCTCAGTTGCATGGTTGCAGCCAAGCTCAGTTGTTTGCTAGCTCGCTACCCCCGTCGCAGCCACCCATTAATCATGAAGCACAAACATGATAGATGACGGGTTAGCTTGTAGTAGCTTGGAGAAGTTCCAAACATACTTGAGGGACCCAGCTTCTGATCAATAGAGCTAAGAACACATCTCAAGCCATTCCATTGCTGGCTGTTGTGCTTGTGTGTCCATCAATTAGATAGAGAAAACATCCTCCGTGAATTGATACCCAAGGAATCTGCTGAAGGGCCAGCAAGATGGCCGCATGGTTTTTGAGATGGTGTTGGAGCATCTTGTCAGCACTTTATTCTATGAATCCCCACTTTGTGTGATGATAGTGGAGCTGTAGTATGTTTACCGGTCTTGTCATACTTGTATCTCGTGGATTGCCGCTTGGCCCTTTGAATCTCTGAATGTCCTATCATGTCAGTTGGGAGCGATGGTCATCTGTCCAGCATGTGGATATTGGAGCCATAGCCTTTGGGATCTAAGCTTAAGATGACAACAGGCTATGCTGCAGTGGGCACATTTCCTGATGTGATGGCGTAGCATGACAAAGAGGGGAGAGTCTAAAGCCATCCAATCCAACTTGGCTCAGATGAGTTCAAAGCATCTCTCAGCAAGCTACCGACATACCACCCAGGCCCAATGGCGGCATAATGTTCAGGTCCTGGAATGACGACAACTCACCAAACTGCTCGGCACCAAGTAAGTGGTTCTTGTTGGCGTTCCTTTCGTTGTTTCGCCCTTCAGATGCCCTTTGTTACTAGTAGCGTCCTTTGCTCCGAGTAGTAAGGCCAGGAGCCCCTAGTAGCGTCCTTGCTCCCAGTAGTAGAGTAAATATCACTCACTTTGCTCAAATGGAATTAAACTGACGTGATCTTATGTGACCAAAGTTGCTGATTGAGGTGAGATGAAAAGTGCGCCGGGGCGAGTGGAGTGGATGAAGGCGAGCTGAGGGTCGCAGTCCTTGCACCACAAAGGATTTGAAAAGATGGAGGCATGAGAAGGAGACAACTGAGAGAAAAAGACAGTCTAAAGAGAAAAGGACAAACAATGTTTAACCTGTCGAAAATGGGTCGTTTTGCACAAATGATATCAATTGCAGAGCTGGAGGGGCGGTGCCCAACACAAGGAAGCAGATTGTGTTTTAGAAGCGAGTCTTGCATGAAAAGAATTGCACAGACAGTACTAGTTACTAGTGCGTTTCAATTCAGGTAAGTCTGCATTATGCGTACTTGGTCAATGATTGCCAGGTCTTTTACAACCACGCAATCGTCTTCGAAGCGCAAAACAAACCAATCTCGTGATGCAGGTCATGGAGGCAGTCGGTGTGAAAGATGAGTAACGGTGAGTACAGAGCATGTCCTTTTGCAAAAGAAAAGGAACAGTCCAAAAAAGGTCGCCCAAAGGTCAAAGAGAATAAGAAAGAATCAAAGAATAGAATAGAAAACAACATACATGAAAGAAGTGGTGCTTGAAGCTGTTGCAGACACAGGATGTAATCCTTTCATTAAGAGGAACAATCGCAACATCGTCCGTCGGATGTGGGGATCTTTTCTGGTGATGTTGGCATTCAAACTGCAGTGATGCAGATGCGTCCAAATCAGTTTGCCCACACTACTAGCATCACCAGGTTCTTTGCTGCTTGCAGACATATATTGACACTAGTGCACCATGCTGTGCACCGGCACCGCTAGGCGCATGTCCATATGTTCTCCTTGCTTCATGCTCCTTCTTGCTTCGCCTCATCTTGCTGTCAATCTTCTTCACATCTTGCCTTCACATCTTGGCGTTGGCGCGCTTGAATCCTGGCGCTTGCCGCATGATAAAAAGAAGGAATGTCCAGACAAGATGCAAGTTGCATTGCCGCCATGCACTGCATTCACTGGCTTGAGATCCACACAGACTCAATCTATCCAGTCATTCATGTGTTTTGCTTCCATGTGGCTCTATGTGTCTCGATCTTTCAGTTGTCTTTCAAAAGGCAAGCTGACGAAATGACAAGAGAATGTAGGGCTGCCGTTGCCAGATTTGGTGCTGTGGGATACTCCAGCAATCTAGAACATCATGAGTACTACTGTCCAATAAAACTTGAACCAACCCAACGGCAGTTTGTTGTTGAAAGAAGCATCCTTCATGTCCAACAATGACTTTTCCTTCGAAAACATCAGCCCTCATCATCACCCCCATCACCTGTCTCCCTAGTAGCATCCTTGCTCCTAGTAGCGATGCCAGGGAGCCCCTAGTAGCGT